TTGATGCTTTTTGGATTTAAACAGGTTAGTGCTATGAAAATCTAAAAGGTAAATTAGTGCTGTATCTTACAAGAACATTGTAGAAACTCCCACCCGCCTAATAAATGACCAGGATATCATTACCAGATGTATAACAATGATGATAGTTGAAATCTGAGTAACACCGCCAATTACTTACTAGCTGGACTTTCACCTTTGCTGGGCAGCAATGGGAATGGAAAATGTTTATGTAATTAAATAGTAGCAAAAATGTTTTCCTGCATACTCATTATTCATGAGTCTACTTCTTTCAAAATCATACATGAATGAGTCATATGTTTGTTTGGAAAGCAAGTGTCACCATGAGATCTGGAAGTATAGTACTTTTGGTCTTCTGGGCCTCTGGGATCATACATTTTACATGGTGTTTGTTCTAGCATAAAATGATGGATAAGAAAGCTTTATTTAAAATCAGAGTGATAGTCACTGTGTATCCTATGCAGAAATGTTATCCATTAGTGCATTCCTGTTTAGTCCCACAGAGTTCTTCTGTGGAAATCTGGCTGTGAGTTTTGGAAGAACCTGGTCCATGGTTATCTCTCTCTGGGTCAAGAGGATGGGGCTCCATCTCTGGTTACAGCTGGTGATGAACTGTGATCAAGCTTTATATTTTTTTTGTTAATTTCTCTTGGTCCTTGGTACGGTAGATCTATGAGCTGTACAGGTAGTCCTGTACAGTTGAGCTCAATATTTCTATTGCTAAGCAAGGCAATTGTTAAGTGAGTCTCTCTCATGCATTTTATGATCTTTTTGACCAGTTAAGTGAATCATGTGGTTGTTAAGCAAATCTGGCTTCTCCCATTGATTCTGCTAATCAGAGGCTCCCTAGGAAATTTGTAAATGACAACCCCAGGACGCTGCAACCATCTTAAATATATGGTGGTTGCCAAGCGCCCGTATTTTGATCACGTGACTGGGGATACTGCAATGGTTGTAAGTGTGAGAACCGCTTATTAATCACTTTTTTCAGTGCCGTTCTAACTTCAAATGGTCACTAAACAAATGGTTCTAGATGGAGAACTACCTGTATAGCAGGAAGGTAGGTAGATAGAGAGAGAGACAGATAGATAGAGGCATACAAATAACACAAGATAAGAATGCTATTCTTACCTGTCAGTACTCTTAGAGCTGATGACATATTCCATAGGACAGGGCTTTTCAACCTTTTCACCCATTGTACCACTTTTAGAATATGGCAATATCTGAGTACCACCAGTCGCCTAGCAAGGTGTCAAAAACTTGATGACCCCCCCCAAATGAAAAAAGTGATAAAGTACAGGTAGTCCTCGACTTACAACAGTTCGCTTAGTGATTCTTAGAAGTTACAATGGCACTGAAAAAAGTGCCCCCCAAGCCACAGCCGAACAAGACACATGCCTGCCCATCCGGCGGCGCTCTTCCTCCTACCCGAGGTTTTTATTGTTGTGAGCATTTCTGTTGAGGATTGGCAGCGGGGGTGGGGTGGGGGGGTTGGTTTTTATTCCCCCTGTCTGCTGGATAGTTGCAGCAGGTTTTGATCACTTCACATGACCCTGGGACCATCATAAATATGAATCAGTTGCCAAGCATCTGAATATAAATCACAAGACCCTGGAGATGCTGCAACATTCCAGCTGACCGATGCTTCTTCTGGGCTCAGCAGAAGCACGAGGATCAGTGCGGCTTTCCAGCTGATTGGTGCTTCTTCAGGGCTCAGCAGAAGCATCAGGATCAGCTGGAGCCTGGCGCTGATCCTGGTGCTTCCGCTGAGCCCTGACAGCCCTGCAGCTCCAGCCATCTCTCGCTCAGGTTTGTGCAGTGCTGCCACCAGTTCAGCTCATTCCCCTCCCCCACTACCACTTTTCTAGGATGGTCGCGTACCACCTGCCAGGTGCCAATGTACCACAGGTGGTACCCATACCACTGGTTGAAAAGCCCTGCCATAGGATACAAGATTACTGCTATCCAGGGCTTTTTTTTTTTTCATAGAACGCCCAGAACGGAGTTCCGGCACCTTTTTTGGATGGAACCTTGTAGGGTAGGCAAGGCGGGTTGTATGACGTGTGAGTTCCGGCACCTTTTTTTTTTTTTTTTTTTACAAAAAAAGCACTGCTGCTATCCGATGTCTCCCCTATAAATTCCCATATAAACAAGAACTGATGGCGCAGCAGCATATTCAGCACTTCTCTGGCTCTCATAAGCCATCACACAGAAAGGAAGTATGGAGAGTTTTTCATTTTTAAAAAGCGAACCAAAAGGCACATTTTACATTGGAGATGGTGTTCAGCAGCAGCACACATGTTCTTATGTTGGCATTTTAGATCTTTTCTTTGCAAATATGATATTGAATAGAAGGGAGCAGGATCACTGCATTTGAGCAATTCCAGAAATTATAGCTTGAGATTTATCAGTAATAATAAAAATATGCTACATATGTAACAAGGATGGTCCCCCAAATGAATCCGCATAGGTTTGGCTGAGATGTGACCACAAACCATGGTCTGCCATGATGAGAATGAGAATGAACAATTGTAGCTTTGAACTCATGTTTTTTTTTCTGTTCCCCTTCCTTTGTGAATAAGATCAAAATCTTTTAGTGAACAGTAAACTATAGATTGACACTGTGCCCGAATGCCCTAAGAATGTAATCTTAAAATTCTATTGTATGAGAGAGAGATATAATTTGAAATATCATTATGGTTGGTCACAATCAGCCAGGTATTTAGGCATTGATCTGCCTATCAAATTATTCTCTAATAATGTGACTAGAGATAGATAGCATACAAATTTTAAATTATTATAATAATAATAATACTCCTGCTCAGTCACAGATGGAGCAACCATAGGAATTTAGAAACTATAACTCTAGGTGTTTGCACATCCTATATTTTGATGCATTAAATTAGAGATTGCAACTATGATATGCATAAAATAAGCTATATTCTCCAATTTATTTTATTAGATAAAAATACTTAAGGAAATCCCAGGGATTTCTAAAGAAGGTTGTCCTTTATTAGGGCTACATAATATTGAACCTTGAATGAGGGCAAATCAATGAAAGTCAAGCCCAAGAAGAGAAATATTTTTTTCCCCAATTACAGTAGAAGTAATATATCCATGGAGAAAGCCTTTGTTAAATGACAATGTGTGGTGCTATCTCCTACATGCAGCAGCATCACTGGTAGGTTTGTTTAGAGCCCTTTGAGTGACAATCACCTCGTTGTCAGCTCTGTATAAAAGGTGTCCCAAGTTCTTTCTCCTTTCATTGCTGCAGAAACTACAGCATAAATGTGGGAATTATTTGCAGGAAAGGCAGATGGAATTAAAGTAATAAAAGCATCTTTTAATTTGTGTTGACATTTTTCTTTTTATTTAATACTTGGGTTTTTTTAGTGCAGCTTAAATCATATGATAAAAATGAATCCAAACAACATAAGCCACTATAAGCAGAGCAGTACAATCACAAACTCTCTGGTTCAAGCCACAATTAGCTGCTGATATTATTACGTACACAGCAAAGTAAAATCATTATTAATATTATTATTTGCTGCTTGCATATTATGGAGAGAATGTAGATTACCTGGGAAGCAATTCACCAAGGTGGACAGAATAACAGGGTTGGAAGAGACTTTGGAGGTCTTCTAGTCCAACCCCCTGCTCACAGCAGGAGACTTTATTCCATTCCAAAAGCTGGTCTGTGAGGGGATCCTGCTCCAGATCAGGGGTTTAGTCTCCTGCTTGTTTGTTCCTCCTCATTCAATAACTACATCACCAGCTACAAGCTGTTTTATTTATTAGCAAAAAATAACCTAAGACCGTGGTGGCGAACCTAAGGCACGCGTGCCACAGGTGGCTCGCAGAGCCCTCTCTGCGGACATGTGTGCCATCACCCCAGTCCTAGGCCTTCAGCTGGGTTTTATAAAACCTTTTCGCTTTAGGCCTCCGCCGCCATGTGAAAAAAAAAAAGTTCAATCAATCAATTTCAACTTCTCGCGGGGAAAAAAAAGATCTCGCAAAGTTGGAATTGATTGATTGAACTTTTTAGTCCCACCCAGTCTGCTGTTACCACTGCAGCCACGCCTAGCCAATGCACCATGCCCACCCAATGGGCCACACCCACCCAATGGGCCACGTCCACCCGGCACCCGACAATACTGAAGTGGGTTTGGGGTTGCAGTTTGGGCACTCGGTCTCTAAAAGGTTCGCCATCACTGACCTAAGACATTCAATTTAACATCATCTTCACTGTGATTATAAAAAAAAGTTTTTGCATGATATATAAATGGGGAAACATGCTATACAGGCATTAGTATATGCCCTACATATAATAGCTTGAGATAAGGAGCAAATTGATGGCTATTTAACAATAGTGGGGAACTAACCTTAGCCAGGAAGAAGAAAACAATCAGTTGAATGAGGTTAGAAAGAACATTTTGCATATTTTTTTAATTTGACAGGTCATCTATCCTGACCCCACTTCTTGTTTGAAGCATGGAAATAGCAATTGTCTAATTATATTATAATGAGGATGTTATCCAGGATAACTTCCTCATTATCTTTCTGGGGGTACTTCAAAGCAGAGAAGTCCTTGACATGAAATCTCAGTAGCTCTCCAGGCATAAGTATGAACAAGAAATTCCTTCTTTACCTCTTTTTCTTTTTATCACTTTCTAGCTGGCAGGATCTAGCACTGCCTCTGGCACTGCTTAAAAATGTGAGCTCGCCTGCTAAATCTGTCCACCTATTCTTTGTGACAAACAGACATTAAATCCTATATGGTATAATCCTTGAGAGAAGGTTTATTAAGGAGTCTTAACCAAAACCAAACATGCTTTTTCTGCAGTAAAACAAAGTAAAACAGTAAGATACTTGGGATTTAATGCTTACTGCTGCTGTGCTATATGTGTTTCTGAATGAATTTCTGCTATTTTGATGATTTGAGATACAAAATAATAGTTTCTTTCCTCCTTTTCACATTGTAGGTCCCACATTCATGGGTCCAAGTAAAAAAGTGGATTTGAAAATCATTATCATTGGAGCCTTGGGGTAAGCATATTTTTAAAATCTTTTCTAAGATGCATTTCTCTCTCTCATCGTGAACTCCCATTTTATTCTCATAATAAGTTTGTGAGACAGGTTAAGGAGACAGAAAACGATAAAATGGCGACTGGCTGAAAGTCACAGGCTGCGTGGAGAATGATTTGAACTGGGATGTCCCCTTCTGACTTTGGCTTTCTAGTGACTATCCCAGAAGTGTTTCTTTATTTATGTAATTATGTAATCATCTCATAACAGCGAATGTGGTGACATACAAAGTCAGCAGTTACAAACAATAATCCATGATAACCAACTGGAATAATACATCCCAGCCATAAAACCATGCCAACAGCATAACTCACCTAACCTCCTGGCCCAAATGTCGGCTAGGACAGCCAGGTCTTCAGAGTCTTACAACAGATAAGATAGTCTGGATCTTCACAGGGATGTTGTTCCACAGAGAAAGCAGGACTCCAATAAGATGACATTGTTGAATAGAGGGGACCTGGAGCATGCCCCTCTGCTGGGAGTGATGTAGAGAGTACTCAGTGGAGCAGTATAGAGAGTAAGGAAGATAACTTTGACAAAGATATGCAAAATCCATTGCTAGGGCAACAAGGGATTAAATATATTTTCAGTCCACAGAAGGCAGATATTCTTTTATGATAATATGCTTCTGCAGCTCAGATGCTCTCTTATTCCTATTGCAAATAGGAGAAGGACGTACAACATAACCAGAGTGTATCTATCCACTAGATAGACCCAGTAATCAACTCCACATTAAAAATACTTTTACTGGTTGTAACATAATCTTGCAAGTTTAAAATAAGTTGAAAATAATGGTGTATTTTTTTTCTGAAATTGGAAAGAGGAAAGAAATTTTTCCATTAGAAATGAAAGTAGATTCACATACTTAATTATGTAGAGTTTAGAGTGGGTGAAGAAGAACTTTTGTAGTTTTAAATTTCAAGCATTTGTGAGCAGAATAGAAAAATATGGAATTCCGGCTTGAATATGCTGCATAATGTTCACTAGCAAATCTTTATTCATTACTTCTCTCTTATAGTCCTGGCTATTTTTTTTTCACCCAGATGGAATTTTTTTCTCTAAGTGAAGCAGAAGGGGTACATTTTAAAGAATAGGCAGGTGGAGTTTAAGGACTCCTTAGACTAATTTGCTGGATAATACTCATTCGAAAGTTCTCTGTTCCTCATTACTGATGAATCATAAACATATACTTGGGGAAAATGTGTATTATTTTTTTAAAAAAGTTATTTATTTTTCACATTTCTGAACTGCTCGTCTCCCTCAAAGAAGGACTGGGAGGTGTACAATAAAATATTAAAATATAATTAATTTTTAATTAAATGGTGCATATACTCTTAGAAAATGGAATTTCATGTCCATTAATACTTAAAATACTATTTCAGTTCTTGGAATTCCTCTTTCTAAGATGATGTGTAAAAACTGCTGCAATAATGTTTTAAAGGATTGGTGATAGATATGTGAAATGCAACTGACAGTACATCATAAAATGTTCAATTTTTTTTAAAAAACCCCCCACCATAAATAAAGTCAAGGAAAATTATGGATGTGACAGATGACTTTTGTGATTCAATAAAGGTGCTCCTTAAGCAACCCTCACTATCCTGATATATTACTTTAGAAAAAAAGTCCTTTGACATATGACCATTGTAGTTAACCTATTTTAAAAAAGATCAAAGTACTTAGATGAATGTGCCATGGATTTATGACCAGTTACTCCAGAAAAAAATGGAATTTCTACTTGCTGACTTTAATAGGAATATTACACTACAGCTATCTACTTTGTGCTACTAGTATGACCAGATTGAGTTAGCAATTTGTTAGTGATACGCTACAGATCAGATAAACAACAAAGCAGGCAAAGAGAATATTTCTTCTTTTTTAAGTTATCTCTAGTTGAATGTCTATGGAGATTCTCAGTCATCCAGGTCATAGTTATCTAAAGACGCTTTTTTCACAAGGCAATTGGACTTTGTTTTTCTTGGAATACGTTTCGCTTCTCATCCAAGAAGCTTCTTTAGCTGAAAAAGCTTCTTGGATGCGAAGTGAAACATCTTCCAAAAAACCCAAGAAAGTCCAGTTGCCCCATGAAAAAGCATCTTTGGGATTGTCAGTAGTTGCTACTGTACAGTAGTTGCTATTTGCTTCCAAATAAACAATCCATAGGATTATTTTTGTCAATTACATTTGTATATTGTATATTGATCAATACTTGCAAATATATGCTATGCAAGATTAATTTGGAAATTATTATCTGAAACTAATTTGATGGAATCACCTATTTGAAATAAATATTTGAATCACCATTGTTGAAACTGGATGGCTACAATTTTGAAATGGATTTTGAGTTATTCCCACAACCACCACCCCGATAAACTCTTATGGGTATTTTTTTAATGTTTTCTAAACTGCTGTGAGTGTTCATTGATGTAGTGGTATATATGTAGCAAAAAAATAATATTTGTTATTAAGTACTGTATATTATTTCTTTCTGAAGAAATTTATATGGTCACTAAGACTCCACAGAGACTTGCTAGCAGATCACCATCACATTATAGTATTAGTATGTAGCTTTCTTCCTATTCCCCACCCCCACACACAACAACAACCTTGTTGTGAGAGAGGGCTGAGACAGTGGTCCAGAGTCACCGAACAAACCTCTGGGAGAGATGGACTAGAACCTGGCTCTCCAGCACTTTCACCATTATGCCACACCATTTCCCATTGTACCATTTATGATATAATGTTTTGAGCATCCATATTTTTCTTCTGAAGCTGGGAGAGTTACAAGGGAAGAAAACAGAGTATGCTGTCCCTGATCTAGTGAGAATTATTGTATTCATTTGAGTTTACATTTCTTTTATAATGTTTGTATATTGATTAGAGATTTTCCACTGTCCACTTGCAGATAAAGCAATTAGAATATTCCAGGGTATATATATTAAATAGATGTTGTATAAGAAAATTCATACAGCCCAACAAGTAGAAATCAGGAGACAAAACAAAGAATAGAAATGGTGTTCTGGAAATTAAAAAAATGACTACTTACAAAAATTACACTAAAGAGAGCCTGCTAAGTTTAAGAACAGATCGCAGTCCAAATATATGATTAAATGGCAACTCTAGGTGTTTTGTTGGCCAGTGTCGGTCAGATAGATTGTACTGAACACTTTCACTTACCCAACTAATACTTGCTATGCAGATGTTAAAACCTGGATCATCATCAAACAAACATGATGGCACCACCAGTACATAGAGTGAAATGTCCAGACCACTCTATTTTAGACACCAAGAAAGACACATCTTCTATAAATTACATAAGAACCTAGTCAGGAGATGATCTCACATTTGTTGCTTGTGAACAAATATAAAAGCAATGGATACAGTGTCTGAGATAAGGCCATGCTGATCACCTAAATTGCATAAAGAGTATAACTAAATAGTTCTAACATTTCTACAGACTTATTTTAGTACAGGCAATAACTGATTAGGATTAGAATTTGTCTTTGATTAGGATTCTCTGATTTCATCAGTTCAAGTGAAACAGAACATTAATGGACAATCTTTTAAAACATTCCAATCCAAACTTGTTGAAATGAAATTTGTATATGTGCTTCTTCTTTCACCACAGTGTAGGAAAAACTTCTCTCCTACATCAGTATATTCACAAGAGATTTTATGAAGACTATCGCACCACCCTGGGAGCTAGTATTTTGTCCAAAGTTATGGAAGTAGATCACACACCACTGAAATTGCAGGTGACAGATGTTTTAATGTCTCAGATCTCTTATTCCATGCTTAGCCAAATATTTATAGCTCAGTCAAATGTATTGCAAAGAAAAGACAGATATTGTGAAATACTTTCATATGTTTATATTACTGTTGGCAGCAAATTTCCAAGAGAGACCACAGCTTAAGACATTGTAAGAAGAAAATAATGTTAGTCTATGGTGGCAAAAAAATCAAGAGGAGTCTGGTAGCTGGCATTTAATGAAGTGAGCTGCAGCTTACAATGTTATGTGCTTTTTAATAAAATTTGTTGGGAAAGGAACTATCAGACTCCTTCAGAGCTTAAGAATATCACTTTGTAATTGCATCTCTCACTAAAATGCTGACTTTGTTAATAAACTTTTTGTTTTTCACATAGTCACCTTTAAAGTGTTGGGTGTTCCAATGGTATTTTGGTTTTCCTTTGAGAAGAGGAATCACCTACCTATATGTCAGTGACCTATAGGGAGGCGAGGTGGGAGTTCAACAGCAAGCATAGTTAATCAGTTTGTGTAACAGCCTCTGCAAATTTGTCCCAAATCAGTCTTCTGCTAGCCTAGGGGTAGGCAACCTTGGCTCTTTTATGACTCGTGGACTTCAACTCCCAGAATTCCTGAGCCAGCATGGCTCAGCTTGGAAACCTCTCCCTTTCCCATCAGCGGGGCTGGCTCAAGAATTCTGGGAATTGAAGTCCACAAGTCATAAAAGAGCCAAGGTTGCCTACCCCTGTGCTAGCCAATTGCCTCAGTGAGCACCATTTCCTTGCTATTTCTTAATTGATAACACATCAAAGTCAATATTCATATTTCATATAAACGTAACCTTAATTATTGACACCTGTGGAACTGAACCTGCTGCTCATTCATTCACACTCTGTTTTCCTTCCCTGAAGTATGCGGCATGGCTCCTTGTTCAGATGTTTCCCTCAGTATCAAGCAAGGGAGGCTTTCCTTGTGTTATTCAATGTACCTTGGAGATAGCTCCCTGTCTGAATGTATTTTTTGCTTAATATTAGGAAGGATGGAGGTATTACAAAGCAAAGCATCCACCTCAGATACCCTTTGACGTTATATGAATGCTTTTGAGGCCCACAGTAGCCCCACTAGAATGGTAAAGAGCATCCCAAGTATCCCATCCCAATATTCTGATATGTAGGGATTTTGAAAACATCGCTCCCCATTATAAGATCCATTTTGTGAACAGGTTAATATATTCTCGTAGTCATGTAGTGAGCACGCTTATCACATACTTCAGACTTCCAAATGTGCACCCCACATCCAAGAGTTACCTATCTCTACTGTAATGGTTGCGGTACTGATGTTAATGCAGAAAGACTTCTTGTCAATTGTAGATAGAGAGATAAAATATAATTATGACTGAATTGTAGAATAGTAATGTTTTTGACACTGCAAATACTAACGGTTATATGTTCTTCCTCCTTTAGATTTGGGACACTGGAGGCCAGGAACGATTCCGGTCCATTGTGTCCACATTCTACAAAGGTTCAGATGGTTGCATGCTGGCTTTTGATGTCACAGATATGGATTCTTTTGAGTCCTTGGATGTTTGGAGGAATGATTTTCTTCAGAAAGTCAACTCTACAGAGCAAGGCTTCCCAATGGTTGTGCTGGGGAATAAAATTGATCTGAAAGATCGACAAGTAAGAGATGGAAGTGGAAATAAGAAGGGAAGTTGAATATAGAGCTCTCCAATCAGGATCTGAGGACAAATATTCAGTTTGTTCTCAGATAATAAACTTAAAGAAAAACTAACATTTTTGTAACACAAAGAATTATTTGCATCTTTACCATGCTACTTATTATAGGACTTTCCCATCTCCAGATATTGAATATTGGAACTAAACTGTGTTTGTGCAGGAGGCCTGCATTCCTATGCATTCCTTTTGTTAGCTATCAAAATGGATAGGATCTCGTTTAGTGCTGAGTCTAGCCTCTGAATAATGCAAGAAATCTTGCTGCTGAGCTTCTACAGCAGATGGTTGTCCAGCCCTTGCTTAAGTCCTTCAATGAAAAATGTCTTCTGCATTATATTAAAGTATAACTGTTTTTAAGAAATTGTTCCTTACGTTTGAATGAAAATTGCCCTCTACTTGATTTAGACCTGCATTAAAACAAATCTATGTAGCATGTATTCCCTGTCCATTAGCTTGTCTTCTCCAAGGATCTCTGATGCTTCAAGAATATATTCGTTTAACCACTATATAAAGTTTTCCTAGTACAACTCAAGATAACTTTATTATTGTTTATGTATTATATTATAATTTATTGCACACAACAATGTATCATTTTTATGGCCATTTAACTATTGCTTTAGCTGGTGTTGCCTTCATATGCATCGAGTTCTTTCAAAGAACCTAGGATGTCGTAATGTATCGGCATAGACACATAGGCTTACATAGTTGAGGTAGTCCTCAAATTATGACCACAATTGAGCCCAACATTTCCATTGCTAAGCAAGACAGTTGTTAAGTGAATTTTGCCCCATTTTACGAACTTTCTTGCCACAGTTGTTAAGTGAATCATTGCATTTGTTAAGTTAGTAATCCGGTTGTAAAAGTAAATCTGGCTTCCCCATTGACTTTGCTTGTCAGAAGGTGGCTAAAGATGATCACATGACCCTGGGACACTGGAACAGTCATAAGTATGAACCAGTTGCCAAGTGTCTGAATTTTGATCATGTGACCACGGGGATTCTGCAATGGTCTTGTAAAAAAAAGTCATAAGTCACTTTTTTCAGTGTCATTGTAGCTTTGAACAGTCATTAAATGAACTGTTGTGAGTTGAGAACTACTTGTATATATGCGGATCCAAGCAGTGTGACTTTTGCATTTGACAGACGGAAATTCTGTCAATGTGTAGATTTTCTATGTGCCATCCAAGATTCATGATATGATATGATACGATATGATATATTATTATGTTATATTACATTATATATTTGATATTATTTATTATTAATATTCCATTATTTGGGGATGACAACTATAAACAGCACTTTCATTGCATTCATTTTCAATCATTCTTGAAAGAAACAACTTTCCATGTAATATTACCAGCTGATCAATTTTTTTTAATTTTTTTTAGGTGTCCAAGGAGATGGCTTCATCATGGTGCAAGGAGAAGGATATAGCATATTTTGAAGTTAGTGCCAAAAATGATATTAATGTGGTGCAGGCTTTTGAGACCCTGACAAGGCAAGCCCTATCAAGAGTAAGTAGCAAATTGCTTATAAGAAATAGAAAATCTGTTCTCTTTTGTACAGCAAAGACATGCCTACAATTCAGAATAACAGTTCATCAACGGTAGACTAAAATCTTCAAAAGTATATGCCGTATAAATATTTAATGTTCTAATTTGTTTTCTTCCAACAAACTTGTGAAGATCAGAAAAGGGAGAAAACATTTTTAAAAATAGCAAGGGACTGTATGCTGTAAGACCAGATTAGGGACAGATCATTGTGGCGAAATCTAACCTATGAACACTAAGAGTCAACAACAACTTGATAGCAATCAATCAACAATCAGTAAACTGTAGAATCTAAAAGGTATTTCTCTATGATCAATTTCTGGAAAACTGAATTTTTAGTGGAAACTCCTTCTCTTTCCTGTCCACATAAATACATTGGCAACTGGCCAGTCCTCGCCTGGAAAAAGACGTTGAACAGCCTGAAGGTTTATCGTCATTAATTCCAAATTGAGAGAATAGAAAATAAAACAAAGAGCCCCTGATATTTTAAAAGAGGGAAAATAATATTTTTCATCCACTGTGTGTTTGTATTCCCATGTATACATTCTGATGGTGATGGAACATGTGAAGCAAATAGCACTATTCTGATGATTTAAGTGACCTCAAAAAGAAGCAATATATTGGCACTGAATAGTCCTTTAAAATCTGAAGTTCTCTAGATATATTGGATTACAACTACCAGTTGACTCCAATTTAAAAATTGGAGGTTGTACTTGCAAGATCTAAGCCAAATTCTATGTGGCTAGGTCTCCTTCTACAGAGCCTGATTCTAATAGAAATCAAGGTAGCTGGAATGAAAGCTCTTTAATATAAAAATTGTTACACTTGTTTCAATCTACAAGTTACAAGAGAGACTCCATATCTGCCAGGATTATTGTAATGAAGATAAGATTAGTGAGACTGTCATTTAAATCATTAGCTAAAGGAAGATGTAATAGCTAAAATTAGTTATAAGCTGGCCTAAAGGTTGTACATTGGTTCCCTTAACTCAGCAGTCCCCAATATTTCTGGCTCTATGGACAAGTGGTGGCGGGGAGGAGAGTAGATGGTTTTGCGTGTCCACACACACTGCTTGCACAAATGCAGCTTCAAGTGCTTGCATGCTCGTCTGCCGCTTGCACAGCCAAGTTCCTAAAGGGCCGCGACCTGGCAATGGGCCGTGGAGCCTTATCTCATACTTTTTGTACTAGCTGTAGTGTCAAACATGAAACTTGCATTTCTTTAGGGCATTTTAATGAAGATATTGTCTGGTTGTGGATTTTAGTTTCCTTTTTTTCCCTTATGACCAAGTAAAAGCCATGTGTTTTGCCTAATGAACCATGATGGATGAAAAAACTCTGGTTCACCACAAGGTGTTGCTATTTGCTCACATTGCCATATGCAGAAATGTAAAGATTTTCCTTCCACAGTCTGGTTCTTGGCTTTTTCTTTGATGAATCACATTATTAGTGGATTACATAAAAGCAGAAATCTATGACCAAAAAGTGGGTAGGAAGGTTTGATGCTCTCTGAACCATTGCCAAAAAACGTGACAGCTTTGATTTTCCTGCAACTAATGATTTTGTATTATATTAAACAATACATGTCTTTTTGCCTTATGCTTACATTGCGCAGGAATGTTCTTAGACTCTTCTAAAGTACAGGTGATGGCACTGAAAATTTTATCCGTTTTTAAAAATGTAACTTTTGGTTGTATTGTTTTTTCTTCCTCCAAGCAGTACAAAGTGCCTGGCTTTCAAACTTTCTTAAGAAGTTTAAGAAAGAGCTTTGAATTGAGAAAGAAATCTGCATTTGTAAGGTTCTATATTTGAGAAAAAATAATGGAAAATCGAAATGACATAATGAATAAGGAATAAAGTTTTCTCCAATTGGAGGGCTCTTAACAAAAACAATTAAAACACATTGGGCAGCCAGCTTTCCCTTAAAATAACCTCATTCACTGTAATAAGAAAAAGAAAATAAAGGACCACTAGAGCCAAAGTGGAGGTCATATTTTTTTTAAAAAAATTGACATTTTATAAATTCCATGAATGTACCAGGCAGTTTCATAATAAAACACTAATCTGTCTATCCCCATATATCTGTTTCTTAGGGGAGTTTGCTGTCTATACAATTTTTAAATGATTGGCCAGGTAAATACATGGTCATATCCTGCAAAATGATTTTTTATATTTAAATTTTAGATTTATATTTTTAATTATTTATATTTTTCTCTTAGTATCAAGGGGTGATTGAGAGCTACCTAACCGAATCTATAAAGCTAAGTCCAGAAGATCAGCCCACAACCAGATGTTGCTGACATCTCGTTTGGAATGATTGACATTTGGATACAGTTTGAAAGCTGGCACGTGGAACAGCTGCTGCTACTGGGGAATGCTGCTCATCAGGGTGAAAGATGAACTAATATAACAATATTGCCCTTTGGCATCCCAGCAAAGATAGAACAGACTGCTCGTGAACACACAGACATTTAGAAATCAACATCAAATATTGGGAAAATATTTACCAAATGAAAGATTTATGTCCTTACTGTATCAGTCAGACTCTTCTCAGATGACATTTTGAAGTTCAGATTTATGTTCCAGAACACTCCATGGAATGATATGATCTCATATTGAAACTGATTCCTAGTTTTTGTCATGTTCTTTTGATAAAACTATAGTAGATAATATCTGGATCATCTTGGAAAGGCTTGGTGTTTTCTAGATATGGCTTAATTCCCAGATGGCACATCTGAAGGTGCTAGAGTGGGTTGGGGAAAGTGGATCTACATAATTCAGGAACTGCTACTTAATATACACATGTAGTGCCATAGGTATATGTCTCATTTTATTCCCACAACTGTCATGAGGTATGTTGAGTTGAGAAAGAGTAACTTGCTCAAAACCATCCAGTGTACTTCCATGGTAAAGAGTTGACTCGAATCTGAATCTTGCATAGTCTGGGTCCAACATTCAAACACTAGATCACCCTAGTTACAGCTTGGTTTCCCCTCTCAGTTCCTGCCTTTGAAAATGCAATGTTAATCTAAGAATATTGATTTTACAGCAGAAATGCANNNATAGAAACAGAGGGTCTTGAGCAAAAAAATACTGTAAAACTATAAATGCAGATTCCATTTTCAGGGTGCTTATATTTTGTAGAAGGTTAGTGCTTACTTAAGCAGGTTTACAGAGAATTTTTTAAAAATACTAAAGAAAAATGAAATATTGGAAAAGGGAATATAATAGAATCAATTTGTACATGGAAATATATAGCAGGCATTTGAAAAAGGGATTTCTTTTTAAAAACATTGGATATGTAATTCTTTCTTACCATTGTTCAAAGATCCTGTTTTTTACTGAAAAGAGTTTCAGATGTGAATTGTATTTATATGCCATAGATTGAAGCCATTTTCAGAAAAGATGTTCTCACATTGAATCTGTATGGAAATTGGAAGCATAATCAGGCCAATTATTGTCGTGTCAGCCTGCTGTCTGCTTCTTTGTTGAATATACTTACAAGAAGGAAGAACTTAGGTACTGGAGAAAAATACTTTCTTCCTGTAATAGTTAATGATGCATAAGTATGGATCAAGGAGCAGGTAAACTAGAACACAAGAGATATAGATCAGGTCAAGACTAGCTGGTGCAAGCATCTGTTCTTTGCTCATATATTGATTGAATGTGTCACCTTCTTTTAAACTAAAACAAAAAGGCTGGACTAATATTGAAAATATACAGCTCAGCCAGTACAGACAACAACTGTAATAAAATGTTAAGTTAATAAGTATTTTTATTGATTTCCATCTTGTAAAAGGACCACATAGAGCCTGAACTAATATCTCATTGCAAGCCAGAATGAATTGGGCTTGGAAATACGATCTCATGAATCTGTTCTGTAAATATTTTGTTGACTGTACTACTTGAGCACCTTGGAATTCAGGTTTGGCTGGTGAGGACATAGCCAAATTCATTTTTGGACATTGTGCTGCCAACTCAATTAAAATTGAATTTAATAATAAGAGATGTGAAATTACTCAACTGGAAGAAAGACATCAAATGTACAGTCATAGGATCAGTGTGCCTAGTAGTATTGTTCCTGAATGGATCTTAGAATTTTAATTGAGTGTAAATTAGTAGTGTGATTGTCCATATTCATGAGCAGTATTGATGCAGTCTCAAAATGTGTATTTTGGGACTGCATTAATAACTCATAGCAGTTATTGTATTGAGTACAGTATTACAGATCTGAATGATCAATAGGGGGCAAAAAATCTAACATGTATCAGGAGAGGGATGAGTCCACAGCAGGGCTGGATTATGGATTTTTTGTTTAGATTCCTACATTGAGCAGAGTTGGGAGCACATCTGTGTTTCTGATACCTGGTATATCCTGCCTATACCAAAGCACCAAACAGAGCTTTCTAGATCAGCTGGATGGAATGGTGTACTTTAACGTTCTCCATAAATATCTACAAGTTGGTGGGCTGTTACAAGTGAGTGAGCCAGAATATAGATGATATAATACATGTGGCCAAAGATATGAACATGTAAAAACAGTTTTCCTTAAAAAGATTTTCCTAAACATTTTTTAAAAACTCAGTTGTGAGACGGTAGCTCCTAAAAGTGATTATTCAAGCGTATTTCTTTGCCCCACTAAAATTATTGAATGCTGCATATTCAGTTTAATTAATCAATTCACTTGGGTATTCAATATTTATTACAAAAGGAAAGCTAATCAAGGATGACACCAGAGTCGGTATTAATTCTATATAAGATTTAAATTCACATAATAATATGGCTTGTTTAATTGTGAGTTATCTTATGTGAATCCAGTCACTGGTATTTATTATCTATGGTTTGTGGACCAAATGACAACCTTTCTGAGATTCTGAATTTAGGTGGGTCAGTGGCCACAGTGGCACGATCGTATCACGTAAAGGGACAGAATTGCAATTTTCCACTGTTTCCCCTGGGTACTTGTTAGTTTTTTTTTAAAAAAAAACAACTGTTTCAGACTTAGATTTTTGTGTGTGTTGTGTGTTCTGCCTTGGAATATCAGAATGCTGTTGTGACCTTTTCACTTTAATGTGAATGTGGTCAGAGGAGATTCAGGTTTCCATTTCAGTTTCAAGGTGCCCATACAAATATAAATAATATAAATAATGCAAATTCAATAAATAATAGCTCAGCAAAAGTAAATCCAGTCATGAAAACAGCAAAGCTAGTGGCTAGTAGATAGAATGACTAATATTTTCAACTCTCATTTGCTTGGTTTCTCAACTGCTTTTCTAGTCAGGGTCAGTTTAGGCAACTGAGTTTAAACAGTATACATGCTGGATGGATATTTCTAGAATACATATACAATATAACACCAACCCTTACTTATCCCCAACCACTAAATATCTACTTAAATGCAAACGCCTTGCATCACTTCTGGAAGGTCTCCAGGTCTGATCTTAGGTTTTATGGCAGGGAGGAGAACTTGTTTTCTCTCAAGGCCCACAGTGAGTAAGAGAAATCATCCCTCTCCTGTTTCTCTCCTTTCCCAACCAATGGACTACCAGGACATGTCATCATTGTCCCAAAACTGAACTAACATACAGGTCTTTTAATACATTTTAATTTCAGGGCTGTGGGAAAAGGAAGGTAGGATTATACTTGAATGACTTTATCAGAATTTGGCATTGGGGGTGCAATCAGTAGCTTGAGACAGAAGGCCCAAGTTGGATTAGACCTGTCAAGTGAGATTATAGAGATTTTACCAGCACCTAGGCCTCCTCTGTGCATTATTTGTCTGCAATATAATAGCAGCCATAAAGTGAATAATGGCTCACATCTTCATGGCTTGCCCACCCTCCTCTCCACCCTCCACCCTCCTGCCCATCATCCCCCTCCCCCCATGTGATGCTTGGCCTTTAATAATGCAATTGTCCTTCCAAATTGGCATTTATCATTTATTATATTATACTGGACCCAGATTTTGCACACATGGATTCTTTCCCACATTCCTTCCTTTAACATTTAACATTTTACCTCCTTGAATTGGTGGACCGGTCCCTTCAGCTGGAGGTGGGAAATTTGGCAGGGGGGAGTGGGATGGTGAGAGAGGGGAAATGGCAGGAGAGGGCACAGCAGTGATGACAGGCATGAGAATGTATGGTGGGAGACAGCCTAGGTAAAAACAAAAAGGGAAGGCTGAATGGAGTCTCTAAGGGCTAAGATACTTCAAGACTTAATGGGCCATCAGTGGATCAAGTGCAACTTTAAAAAAAAAAAAAAAAGGAACTCAGCAACCCAGGGCAGGGACCAGCCAATGGAGGCAAGTCCAGTGTTGTAGCCAATTGGTGCTGGAGCTAGTATCAAACCATCTGCTCTGAAAGGCTTAAGATGTTCTGGTTGAAAAGCAACCATTTTAAATCTAAGCTGGAGAATGTGGGTGTGGAGCGTATTTTCAATCATCTGTGCGAAGGAGGATGGAGAAAGCACTGGATTTCCCATGCTGGCAATGGGGCAAGCAGATCTGCCCTAAGATAGACAGAAAGCTGTTCTCCATAAAGCAGGCTCCATGCCCACCCTAAAATAGCTGCTTAGACAGCCTGATCTTAGATTCTGATCCTAAATCACATGGAAAAATGAGGTAATAGATATTTTTTGGTCCTTTTCTCATTTTTTTTAAAGAAAAAAAATGGATTTGCTTTGATCCCATGTCACAGGTTAGCTGTGAGAGTGACTTACGAGCTTGTCTGATCTGGAAATGGTAATAGGAGAAATTCCATGGCTGGATTACTGAAAAGATTTAATCCTTCCACCTTTTTCTATTTTGGTTTCCCATGATCTAGCAACAAGGAAAAGATGCAAGTTTTAAAGCGGGTTGCCGAGCTTTGAATGTTCAGCCAAGCATCAATTTCCCAAGTGCCTTTGCATCTTCTTTCTTGAGTGGGAAACTCCAGAAAACGTTAATAACAAGGAGGAATACAAGCCCACTTTCTAAGAAAGCAAAGGGAAATGCAAATTAGGTCATTTTTATCAGCTACTGGACAATCCATTGGGTCATCTTTTGAGAGAAAGATCTGATGTGTCCAGAATGAAAACACAATAAATGGTATTGCTATCATTTTGCTTTGAAAATTAAAGAAAAAAACCATCAGTTTATTAAAAAATAAATATTTGTAGCAAGAGAAATATTGCTCCCTGCAGTCATATGAATGTGATTTCCAAGAGTACCTGCTGGTTCCCCATTGGCTTTCCTGCTGGGGACCTGACAAGAAGCATTGGAAATCATGGTTACAGGGAAACTACAACAGCCACAACTTTGCAACTAAACTGTTCTGAACATTCTAGAAATTTCAACTCAAATTGGAGTAGTAGGTCCCAAATTGTTCATATTTTTAAGTTAGCAGATTTTAAGTACCTTGGTTCAAAAAATTGTTGCAATCATTTGGGCTAACTTGAGAGTACAAACAGACAAAGCAAACACTGAGAATTTTAGTAATATATAGATCCGACTTGGAAATCCCAGGTTAATGGTTGCCTTTCTTCAGGAGATAACTAGTCATGTAGTAGATACAAAAAGTTGTGCTACTTGCTTAATAGATGGAATGAAACAATCTCTAAAATGCTAATGTTACAATTAACTTAAATTGCAAAGACGACACTGCCACAACAGTTTATCACAAAATAAGATATTATATGGTACTACCTCATTCCTGAAATCCAGTCAAGAGTTGACATTAATTGTATATGAGCAGTTCTAATCATGGTATTGAAATGCCCCCTGATCATTTTTGGAAATTGTCCCCCACTGAGTCTCCATGCCTTAGTATGGATGGAGCACATCCATGCATGGTAATACATCTTATGTCAGCAAGCTGCTCTGGAACATGCAAAGTAAGAATAGCAAAATGCATCTGATTATGTGCCGACTGCAAGTGATTAATATCAAACAGGTTCCAATATATCTAGCCTTAAAGGGCTTTGGATGGAAGGTTCTCATTCAACTGGCACTTCATTGTGTTTTCCAGCCATCCCAGAGCTGTGAAAATTTACATCATCTTAAATCACACTGCCTGCACAGCATCTTAATGCCTGCACAGCATCTTAGATGGTTCCGCCCCAGGCGCCTGATGGACCCAGAGAGGTTCCAGACGGAGCTTGGGCCATATCCGGTGGACCTAGCTCACAATTCGGTTGAAAATCTGGCGGCGGCCTGGGAAGTGGCCGCTGCCGCAGCATTGGACCGAATCGTGCCTTTGCGGCCTCTGACCCGGCGCAGATCTCAATTGGCTCCCTGGTTTACCGAGGAGCTGAGAGAGATGAAGCGCCGGAAAAGACGCCTAGAGAGCAGTTGGAGGGCGAGCCGAACCGAATCCGATCGAGCACAGGCAAGGATACAGGTTAGATCCTACCTAGTGGCGATGAGGGTGGCGAGGTTTAATTACTA